GTTTAGAGGAGAGATTTTTCGTACATAATCCCTTGCCATATAAATTTCAACAGCCCTCCTGGTGATCTTTTGAAATTGCAGCTATATTCACACTTTCAAACTTTAGTTTTATTACAAAAAATTAAATATAATTTTTTTTAACGACTTATTTAATTTATTAAATTGTTATTTTCGATACCAGATTGATTTAAAGTTTCTTTCATGACCGAAGGCTTTTATTTAATAGACATGTGGCTTACATGTTAAAACATAAATAAAAATAAGGGTTTAATTTATAATTTTCTTACATTGTGATATGTAAGAAAGTGAAACCGTAACTTGACCATGTGGGAGAGCAGGTTACCCAGTATAAAAAAATTAACTATTTTTAACCATTAGAGATTGTTGGCAAAGATCACCAAAAGGGTGGGCGTGCAATAGGAGTAGATATTTCTAAGCTCAATTTTAAATATGATGCAGGTTCTCTCTCCATGGTAAAACGCATAGGCCTACTTTCTCAAACTGATCATACACTCTACAACGAGTACAAATTTCTCCCATCCCATATCTGTATCAGCTTCTTACCTAGTCCTAGGTCCTAAACGCTATAACAAATCATTTATCTTTATCCCATACCGTATTCTATTGCAATTTACAACACATGTTGAAAGATAATTTTTGCTACCCATGGAGAGAACACCTGGATCACATCAATTTAATTAATTAGATTGTACAGTAATTACCTAATTTGGCTTTTTATTTAAATTGTATATAGGCCTATTGAATTGATTTTACCTTTTATTAATTTAACTTTTCTTTCTAAATTGTAAATTGAATTGTGTTTCTTAATCTTTTATATATATTGATATATATTGAATTTCCTACATTTTATATATTGCAATATATAACCAAAGATTTTCTGATGTATATTATTATTGGACCAATAATGTTTTAATATAATTTAATTGAAAAAAAAACCCAACTTAATTTGATTTTAAGGTTGGTTACGTTTGTTTTCTATATTAAGCACTGATCTAGTTTTTATTATAATAATAATTATTTATTATATTGTTATTCATTTTTTATATTGTACACAACTCATTAACTTACAATCTAACGCTGTCGCAATCCCTTCAATATATTGTGTTCCGTTGACGTTCAGGTTTGATGCGAGCACAGTAAACGTATACTGTGTACAAGGTACAATTCCTTGATTGATAAGAACTTCAGTATCATTTGTACTTCCTCGGAGATTCATTCCACCTGATAGTTGGTAATGGTAAATCACCTGATCTTGGTTGTTACAGATTGCAGCATTCCATTTCATCAATAGATACGTTTGCGTCTGAACTGAATCTTCGGTAATTAAGGGTGCTGATAATATTTAACAACAATAACAATATTTAAATGTTGTTAGGAAATTCCACAGGAGTGAAGTTTTTCCCTACCTGACGTGTTATCATATTGAATTGGGCGGGAGTGTACCGAGTATTTAGTACGATTACACGTCAGGTATGGAAAAAAATCACTTTTATAATAATAATATTACCATCATGCGGGCACACTTCAACCCTATTATTAAAGAGCTATTTCCAGCAAAGTAAATGCTCTAACTTTATAGTACTAATTTATTATTAATTGCGTATTTATATATGAAATAATAATAATAATAAATGATAATAAATAATAATGTTGTGCTGGATCATATCTATTTTAATATATCTCAGTCAGTAATACCAACATTATTTAGACAGCACAGTATATGGTCTTCCGGTCAGATAAAAACGGACGATAAAAGTAATTATTTTTCCTTAATTATTCTGAAATATGGATTGATATTTACTTTGTGCGATCGAAAATTTGATGATTTTGTTATAGCTTTTTAGAGCGAGAGGTTTCGAATCCCAAAAGTTTTAGTACCTCCGTATTGCATTGTGTCCGTAGACTTTGAAATAAGAGTAATAATAATATTAATTTCAGCAATAATATTTAAAATAAACTAAAGAAATAATACGCATAATAACAATACGACATACTTGGGACCTGTATTTACTCTCCCTGATTGCCAACAATCTCTTATTAATGATAAAAATAATTGATCATAATAATAATACTAACGCTACCATTAATTAAAGCATAAAATATAACCTGAGGGCGCTATATGTATTCGAATACTTTCTCCCCAATCTCCCACGAACTCTTCGTTATTAACAACCCTAGAGTCAACGTCATAAGTAAAACATTCTGATAATCCCGATATCTTGACTTCTCTTTGTAAACCGTCCATTGTGTTCACAATTTTCTGTTCGTTTCCATCTTTGTTTCGGTATCGTACTTGATATCTAAGTATACTATCACACTGGATTCGCTCAGGAGCATTTGAGACAGGCTATGGAATAGAAACGAAATCCTCTAGGCTAAGTCGGTAATATCTTTATCATTTACATGTTTTATAAACAAAAGGTATGATTTTTGAGTTACTTTTGATTGACGGGAATCTAACCATGTATAAGGCAGATAATATACCACGGATTTACTACAAATTTAAGCTCACTTACCTTCAGTATTAAAATGATATCATTTCCTTCAACTGATTTTAATCCTATTTCTGGTTCAACCAAAGGCCCTTTAAAATATAAGTATTAATGTTATACATAACACACAAAAAAAAATCAAAAAATCAAAAACACAAAATGACTTTTTCGAATGGTGGTTTTCCAATGAAGCACGTAACAACAACAGCAACAAGAGCAACAACAACCACAACAACTAAAGATACTATGTTCAATAGAACATGAACCCAGTCATTTTTCAGGATTTGACCCTAAGGTAAAATTTGACCCCGATGACCCCTATGTAACCCCTGATCCCAGACTGTGGTGTAAGAGGTGTCACTGGTTCTTAATGATCAAATTGATTGAATTCCGTTCAATTGTTTGCCATTAGTAACATTTTGAACCTTTGACCTATGAACTTTGACTTATGAGGTGAAGAGTATTTTTTTCGTGTTTAGAGGTCCTAAGGAGCATTCCTGGTAAATTTGAGCTCAATTGGGCTCTTTTGAAAATTTAACCCCGATGACCCCTATGTGACCCCTAATCCCAGACTGGGGTGTAGGAGGTTTTTTCTTGTTCTTGATGACCAAATTTGATTGAGTTTGGTCCAATTGTTTGCCATTAGTAGCATTTTGAAATGTTACCAGATAGAACAAAAGAATAACCCTTTAATCACCTTTGACCATAAATCGCCCCTACCTTATGCTAATACACATGTGCCCAGGACAAGACTGTGTATGTTATTTGTAACAGAAGTCCTTTATTCATTAAATTTTTTTTTTACCCTAATTACTATGTGACTTTTGACCCCAAGCAGTGTACATCCCCATGTATGAGAGGTGTCGCCGGTTAGCGATTTTTTCCGTACGAAACATTTGCATGAAACTCCACTCGGGCTGTTTCGACTGACTCGACTTGAAAATCTCAATTCTGGAGGTCAAAAGGTCATCAACCAAAGATAGGCTAAACGTCTACAAAACTTCTGAGATAAGGATTTCTGGCCGTTGTCTGATTTTGAAAAAAAAAAAACACATTGCCATGCTAATATAATGGGACGTTTAAAACGACATATGTAGGCCTAATATTTGATTTCGCTGCACGAATAATAAAAAGTGTTATTTGAATTTGAGTTACTTTTTATTTTTTAGTTGGCCGCGATTTTTGAATAATTATTTAAGTACCCATGTCAACTCGGTCCCAAGTATATCGTTATTATTATGATTAGTTTGGATTTTTGGTCATGTACCGTACTAAGATAATGTGATCACTTAATCAAAACAGATTTTAGAAGGCGGCTTTCAGGGGAAAGCGCAAAAATGAAGAAAAAAACAGCATTTATTGATTTATGAAACAGAGTGACAGTTATTTAGAAATTAAAAGAAAAGCTGAGAATAGACAGCTCTAAAACTAGAAATTGCAAATTGCAAGTGAAGTGCTGCGAAGTAAAATTGCATAAAATGTTCTTCGAACAAAATTATTTATGCGAGTCAAGTGAAAATAATGAATAATAAAAATATAACAAATAATATGAAACACGACCCATTGTCTATATTAGAACAGCGTTGGTACCGTGTACAATAGTGTTTTGCTGCAGTGACATCTCGCTGCTGGCGACTCGCTGCTGCTGGCGATGACCCGCTGCTGGCGAATCGATCTGCGCATGTGTATAAAATGGTATTTATTTCCGAAAATACTATGCCAGTCTACGACAAGCGTCGCCTAAATGTAATAATTAGCACGTTGAAATAGGCTAGTAAATAATTTTAACTGGGTTCGTAAATAATATTGGCCTCACAATATTGTGGCTGAGACATGAGCCGATTAAACGTAGAAATAGGAAACCTAGAAATATAGTAAAAACGCTGAATAGTACTCCAGCGCCGCGACATGCGGACGTTGGTACGAGTAGACTAGTATACAAACGTCGCCTAAAGTAATTGATTTTACCCGGCAGAACGAAAGAAGGAAACTCCGCTTTTCAGTTGTCTTAGGCGCAAGTTTTTTGACAAACAATGACCTTTCAGAGGTCAAATTGCTGTCAAGAATATGAATTGCTGCTTCGCAGCAATAAGGATGCCATCATAGGATCTGCCAAAATAGCAGCGTATCAATGAATTTTGCCTAATATAGTATTGTACTGTAGGTGCTTCTTGAATACAAGGCTTAGGCTAAGTTAATTAATGGCGAAATTATATATGGTTATTTCATTATTATTATTATTATTATTATTATTATCCGAGACTGCCCGAGTGGAGTTTCATGCAAATGTTTCGTACGGGAAAAAAATCGCCACCGGTTATACTGACCAGGTTTGGTTGAAATCGGCACAACCGTTTGGCACTAGTAGCGTTTTGAAATGTTTCCAGAAAAAAGATAAGAATTACCCCTTAATGACCTTTGACGCCTTATAGCTGAACACCCTATAGACTATGCCTTATGTCAATGTATTATGTGCAAAGGACAAGACTGTGCTACGTTATTTGTGAGAGAAGTATAGTCTTTTATACGATTTTTCTTTTACCCCAATGCCCCTTATGTGACCTTTGACCCAAATTGTGAACAACACATAAATGGGAGGTGGCACCGGTCCTACTGACCAAGTTTTAATAAAATCGGTCAAGTAGTTTGCCATTAGTAGCCTTTGAAAATGTTGCCAGAAAGAAAGAAATAAGAAACTGCTCAGAAACAGAACCCAGTCAACATGCTGCTGACTGGGTAACAACAACAACAACAACAATTAATGTACTAAAAGTTTAAACTTTTGATCCTTACATTTGCCGGAAGTAGTTTTGCCTTGGCAGGGGATGTAGTAGATGGCGCCTGTGATGTCTTTCTTTTGGCTCTTGTCCTTTGGTGATACAAACAACTGTCTTAAGGTGCATGTGGGTTTAAAGCACGTTGTGATGCCAAATGTTTCGAAGGTTCGCTTGAGGGTTTCAGAGACTCCCTTTATGGGATTGGCCGTTATCCCATATATAAAGGGAGTCTCTGATTCTTACATTGGGGAATCAGAAAGAACTCTGAAAACACGTTTCTTGGAACATCGATAGACCGAGTTCAACTTCATCGGAAATCTCTCAACATATACACATTGAATCACCTGGACATCATGTGGACCTGGCACAGGTCCAACATTCTTGACAGGGAACCAAGACACTTTGAAAGAGGTGTCAAAGAGGCAATTTATATCCGTGTGAACAAACTAACGCTAAACCGACACGGGGACCGACACAAACTGCCAAAGATCTACTGTACGATCCGATTTTGGAGTCACGTGTTCGTAAGATCACGTGCCCAAAATCGGTGTAGCCTTCAAGTCACATTCCAGTCATTGTGCTGAGGAAGACCGTGCCATACGGTCGAAAATTTCACGGTAAGGAAATTTGTTTGTGTTGTGATCAAAAGTTTAAACTTTTAGTACATTCAAATACCTACACAGATGAGCTATTTTTCGAACAACAAATAATAATAATAATAATAATAATAATTACTTGTACAAATAGTTTCTGCTGATCCATGTTCACTAGGTGGTCCATCGATCTCTTTCCTGTCCACTAATCTCGAGTGTTGTGTATAGAATTTGACAATCGTGTGTGGTAGGAGATTGTCGATTGTATATACACCGTTTTCAATGTTAACCCCAGTGAACCTACTTGTCGGCATTGTCCTGTACCACAACTTACAACCACTAATAGGTCCTGTTCCAAAGTCTAGAACTGGATCCCAACTGCAGGCGGAAATATGCAAGGTGGTTGCTGTTCGATCCAAAAGTTTTGGAGAATGGGAACTGTAAGGTAGGGCTAATAACAATGACATTATAAGTCAGTAATAACGTCATCATTTTGATTTGTTTTCGTAATGAACTCCATTAATAACAACACGTTGAGTGCGATCAGAAAGACAGTTCGAAATTAATTTAAGGGGGCCCGTGGTGCCATATTTTACATTCTTAAAATCAGCTGTTTACGAGAGAGAGACAATCAAGAGCTTTTGAGGTAGAGTGCGGTCTAGATTGGTTTGAGTTGATATTCTGGGGATAAATCCATGTCCATGAAATGGACTAAGTAAAGGTGACTGGTGAGTAAATAATTGGTCAAATATAGTACTGTATGCTAAAAAAATGTTACAAATGGAGAAAAGTAAAGAAACAGGACGAATGGCAGGCCCGTATCCGGGGGGTGGCTTATGGTTCGGGAGAACCCCCCTTTTCTAGCAAACCCCCCTCTTTTCTGGCGAAACCCTGTCTTTAAATTTCCCAAATAAGTCCTCAACTCAACTAATGCACTGCAGACCCACCCAGACACAGACATTTTCAAACATATCTGCTTTTATAGCATTATTTAGACCCATAAAGCACAAAAATCCTCTTGCCTTGGGGGTTTCGCCGACCCCACCGGGGCTTCGACTGTGGACCTCACGCCTAGAAACCCCCCACCCCCCTTGGAAGAAGCTGGCTACGGGCCTGAATGGATTGCCGAGACCCCTCTTTGTGGACAAGACAGACATTTTATCTTTTCCATAGTGACTTATACCATCGCAGATCACTGCCTAATAGATGGGTCTTTAATTAGATATAGACCTTTAGTTATATTTCGACTTTTGAGACGATAATAGGCTACCATTAGTTGTTTTTAATTTTGGAATTTGTTGTATTGCGATTATACTGTACATAATTAGAATGTAGACTCAATTTTACACAAATCAAAGTAACTTTGAGGACTTGATCATTACCTATGCTGCAGTCCGCTCCAGCCCATGCTTCATGGCATCCATTGTCACAGCTTCCGTCACGATTACAGCCAGCAGAGTCTTTACAATGACATGGATAGTTACACAAAACACCAAATAAATTAGTCGGGCAAAACAGACCCGGCAATAATTCTACAAGAACATAAAGCATCAAAGTTGTTTTAATTATTTTGCCACACAAAACTTTTTAAATTATCAACAAAATATAACTTATTATCGTTAATTATTATTAGTTAGTTATTATTAACTTGTCTCTTATACACATCT